AGAGACATTTTTCCCCACCCCAGGCCCAGCTGCACAACTCTTCCCATCCTTTTAAAGTCTGTTACTTTTGCTATTCTCCAGCAAGATGAGGTTGCTGCTGAGGAGAGGAAATAATGAGCCTTACTGAGGTGATGTCCAAAATCCATTTTGAGTCTTCCTTTGCTGTTAAAAAATAAATAAATTTGCCCAAGAATTTCACTTGAGTATATGAACACACCTGGCCAAGGTAATTAGAATATAATTCTTTTGCCCTAGGAAGTGTGTGTTAGGAAGTTGGATAGCAGGGAAAAGGATTCAATGCAGGTAGTTTCTATAATTGCAGTTGCAACTTGTTAGCAAGAAGCCTTCCTGAGGCTCTCCTGGCACTTGGCTGTTTATACACTTGTCTTTGGTTACTGTGTAGATATACAGACACCCTCCAATTTAGAAAACAATACAACAATAAAATACTTTTAGTGCTAATGTAACTTCTGTACTCCAGGGGATAACATATGTATTTTTGTTGGGTCATTATTTAAAGATCATCTGAAGTCTTCATGGCAGGCTGTGAAATGTTTTTCTCTAAAAAAGCTCTCTTTTGGAATATTTTTTTTGTTCATCTCTTTATTAATTTTAAATGAATTGGTTAGGTTTGGAAATATGATCTTTTAGCAAAGTAATCATCTGGTATAAATTACAGTAGTTGAAAAATCACTGCAGGCACATTATTTGTAAAATTCCCATGATCTTGAATGTAATGGCATTTGTCCCTGAATGACAGGATGTGAGATAGAAAGTCATCAACAAAGAGTTCATGAATGCTTCTTGGCCTCATGGAGCTAAAAGTTTCCTGCTGAAACATCTTTGAGTCCTTTGCTTGCTTAGTGTGATCATTAATATTTCCCTTGTACTCACCAAATGAGCCCCACTACCACTTGCTGTGGTTACAGTCCCACTTCCAAGGATGGGCAGTAAGTTCAGTTAGGAAAGCACCATTTTTTACCCTGCTGAACAGCTCACAGTGAGGTCTCTGCAGCCCTGATTAGACTTCTTCTGTTACACAAGTTATAATATTTCCTTTGCTGCTTTCTGCAGTGAAGTGCAGCACTTTCAAGACTGGATGTTTCCTGGGTAAGACTCTGAGGGGTGAGCAGTGCATCATGTTAAAGAGCTGTGTGCCAGCTGCTGTGAGCAGTGGGAATAAAGTTCTCTTAGCAAGTCTCTCCATATAAATGTTCTTTTGGTTAACTTGCCATATGTCTTGTCTTTGAAAGTATCTTTTTAAGTGACAACTTATAAACATTTTATGAGAGTTGTAACAACCAAGAACGCAAACCGTAAATACCAACATACACCAGCTTAGCAATTTTTTAAAGCTAATTATTTAGGACAAAACTTGCTCTCCTTAAATACTGAGCAAAAAAAGGGTAAAACTTTTGGTTTGTGAGGAATGAAGTTGTCCAGGGGATAGACACAGGCCTAATCTGTGTACTTGAGCTGACAGCCTTGGAGCTATACAGATGTGTATCAGCTGAGCATCCAGACCACAGTGATGGGTGGGGTAAAACTGGCTGAATAAAGGTGACACTGAACCAAACAGCAGGAAGGACACACAGCCAACAGCACAGGAAAACCGGACACATTTGTGGCTCAGGGGAAGCCCACTGAGAAGAATACTACCTTTATGTTTAAGCCCATAATAAGGTAGGCTGGCACTTCAACATTGTCATGTCTTGTAGTGAAAGTGCCCTTGCAAAAGGAAAAATTGAGAAACTTATATGTCAGAAAGTCTTCTTGCTTCTGTCTAAAACTATTCATATGATCAGCTGCCAAACAGCAAATCACCACTCTCATCTTTGTGCCCAGGGCTTTCACTTCTCAGGAAAGAATCTTCCCACCCTCTCTTCTCTAGAGAAAGCGTCTGATACAAGTTTCCTACCAGCTTCCTACCAAAATATCTCTAGGGTCCATCAACTTCTGGAGTGTGAACGGGTACACAGGATGTTTCACTTGTGAGTCTTTTAAGGTGAAGGAGCAGAACTGCTGTGTTGTATCTTTAGGAAACATATGTGCCAGCTTAGTCCTTGCAGATGCCACATTAAAATGAAATTGTGGATTTCTGAATAGATTTCTTTACATCATTGTGATTGAGAGTAGCACATTGCTCTCCAAGCACAGAAAACATGAAGAGCTTTCATGACTAATGACTTAAACTCTGGGTTTTGACTAGCTTTTTTATTAATGCAGACATTATGACTGGGCAGACTGTGGGCAGACTGAGGTGTTTTGGTTGCCTTTGATTTGCATGAGTAATCCTTGTTAGCCCTGACACCTTTTGAACTTTCAATTCAAACATTAATTTTGGGAAGGAGGGAGTTGTGCAGTGTGCTGCCCCATCCCCTCAGGCTGGGCACAGGAATGTGCCATCCCCATATGTACTGTGCCACATACAGGAATAACACTGGAACAGCCCAGTATACACAGTGTCTGTGGGATGCTTCATCCTTTTCTCTTTCCACCTTTCCTGCTCTTGTAGGTAAAATTGCCTAGAGAACTAATGACCACAGACAAAAATAATGCCACCCATTTGGGGTCACCAGACTGAGCAGTCCACATTGTGATTAGCCAGTGCAGCTCAGCATGACAGTGCCCGTTCCTCACACACTGATGTCTGGCTCTTTCTCAGCTGTGCTGGTACATACTTAAGTACTGAAGCAGGCTTTGCCAAGGCAAGAAAGGCAGGGAACACTTTAGCCTTCCCTATATCATCCATCACTTCACCATCTCTCCATTCAGCAGCAGACCCAACTTTTTCCAGTTCTTTTGAAACTATTATATCTGTTGCACCCCTTCTTATTGATCTCCATGTCCTTTGCCAGTTTTTTTCTCCAGCTGGACTTCAGAGAAAACTCTTTTTAACTGTGCCAAAGCAGTGCTTTCTTATTCCTGCTACCTTTCTTCCCCCTCCCTCCCTCAATGCCCACCACTACTTTTTGAGTGCTCTGGTTTTTCCTCAGCCCTTCTGTAGAATTAAATGGTTTGTTCTTTAACTCTTGGTAAGTTTTTTGTAGAAGTCAGCCAGCAAACCTTTCCCTCCCATGGTTGTTTCACAGCTGATGTCTTTCAGGCAACGAACAAAGATGTGGAAATCTTGAAGACCCTTTGGATATTTGCAGAGATATCTTCTCTATTATATGCATGCGCTTCACTTTATTCCCTTCAAATTGGTCCCTGATCTTTTTTCTTCTCCTCATGCCTTTGCTGTTTTCCTAAAATGATGTATGAGCACATCTGGTTAGTACTCATAGCTGTTGAAGGAATTCACTTGAATTCAATTTGATGAGGGTGATTTATTTAAGATCTGTTTCCAGAGCAAAAGATATCACACAATCACACAAGTATTATGCCTACAAAGTCCAATAGCCTTGCTTGAACACACTTATCAGATAAGCCAAGCAAACAGATGTATACAGAAACTGCAATTATGAAATTTTGCCAATCCCAAAAGGGTGGACAAATGAATTTGAAATCTTTAATGTGTTAGACCAGGTCTGTTAATGCTCCTGGTTCCCTATTTTTTTTGTGTTCATCTTAACATCTCCAAAATTAACATTTCCTTAATTTTTCTGTGTAGACATACCAATTTCATGACTACGGGTCACAGAACCTGCTAGCATTCTTCATGAACTCCTCCTATAGTATGTGTCATTTCATTTGTTATTGCAATGGATTGTTTCAGACCACTCTTACCTGTTTTTTTTTTTTCCTTGACAGTCTTCTTTTGCTAATTTCCAAAACTGCAAAATACATGGTATCATCAGGAATACTTACATTTAATAAACAGCTTCCCCTACTAAATTAACTCCTGTCGATTTCTAGTTCATGCAAAACCTGTGTTATTGAAAGAAATATGCACTGTCTTTTGTAACTTATTTTTTAAAGCAAGCTCCACAGAATTGTCAGTACATTAGGTTTCAGCATGCCCTGATGTGCAGAGCAGACCTCTGAGACTAGACCACAGCATTACCCTCTAGATGAAATCTTATGAAGTTTCTAGAGAACAAGTGGTATGTAAATTGCTTTTTTCCAGCCTTACAGCTTGATCAAATTTGGACTGTTTTTTCACATGGCAAAAGACATTGACAAGAGTTTATTCTATTCCCAGATGTGAATGACATCTCCAGAGACTGAAGAGGAAATCAATATTAAGAAAGATGAAGACCAGGACTCTACATAATCAAACTAATGTAATGTATTTTCCCTTTACCACAATTTCAGTAGTGACAAAAGAATAATTTTTGTTGAAATTACCAAGTCCGTCAGTTTTGGGTGGGCAGGCAAAAAGATAAAAGTTATAAACTTCATCTCCAAATGGTAGCCAAAATTCTGAATAATTGATCATGGGGAATGGGTTACACAGCAAATTCAGCCTCAGTGCTGTCAGCCTGTAGTAAGAGCCGTTGTGTGCCAAGGCATTAGAGGACACCTCCTGTGTCCTCTAATCAGGGTAGTACACAAGTCAGAGTAGTGCCAACCTGACTAGAAGGTTACATCATATTTTAATATGTTAAATGCTGGATGCTGGAACAGAAGATCAGAGCTTAATTTTCATGGTAAAACATGCTGTACATGAGTACAAATGTATTTCACTGCTGAGGGAACTGCAATAAAATTATTTTGCCTTCAGATCAGCTGATGTCCCTTTTTTATAAGGTACTTTTTAATAAGTTACTATCCTCTTTTAGATCCATTTCTTGTTCTTTATGTTCACTTTCCCATGTAATATGCAAGATGAACCAATTGAGACTAAGTTGATGAAGACATGTTACAATGCCTGGCTAAAGCAAATGAATATAGCTCCAAAGGGCAGTAGTACTGAAAGTTTATATGAGAATTGAGCAGGGATTTGAGGATATTTGTCTATTGGAAAATACTGATTTTGTTAAAATTAACCTGCTCCAGGAAAGAGCTGAGGTCAGCACATATTCTATTTGAAAATGAATTTGATAAATTTTACTGTGTAACTCTTTAATTTTATCTACTTATGTCACTGAGTCCTTTTCTAGGCAATCAGCTGACAGATGGCTGGTGCACAGGAGATTGGAGAGCAACTCAGCAGATCATCATGCATGTTGTACCGAAGAACAATCTGGTAGGTTTGCATCAGCTTTTCTAACAATGGCATCACATCAGCACTTATAGATGTTCTCTGACTGCCCTCTCAGGATGGATTCACTTCACTGTGGCTTTCAGGAGAAAAGTGCCATTTTGTGACAAAATTACAGCTGTCCTTGAGGCACTTTGCCTTCAGTTTCACTTGCCAGTTCTTGCAATATGCAGATATGGAAATCATCCAAAGCTTGATTTTGACAAACAACCAAAGATTTTTCTTACACTCTGATGTACTTTTTGCTTTGCTTTGCTGTTTTGTTTTAAAATCTCATTTGCAGAAGTAATCATATCTGGTGAAGGGGAAAACAAAGTATAAAATCAAGCAAAATTTGATCTAGTTTTTGGGAGGTTTTTATTTTGTGACAATTTTCATGTCTTTTTTTTTTTTTTTTTTTAATGTGTGTGTCCTTAAATGGAAGGTAAAAATGTTTCAAAATCTGCTTTCTCTCTACGGTTTTGTTCTGGTCGTGTACTGTGAGGCAACCAAGGCAAACAGAATAAATACTAAGGAAGGAATGATTATGTTTTCTAGACTGTTTTGACACATAATGTGAAAACTACATCCCTTGTCTCTTGGTTTCGGTTGGGCTGGTGACTGTGTTGCAGCTGTCAAATGCACAATAGAAATGTCATCTTGGTCGCTGTTTCTTTATGTTCAGGGCAGTATGGACTGCTGGCAATTTGCGTGTGGAAATATTTTCTTTTCTATCTTCTTTTGCTGTCATGGCAAAACTGCTCTTGGTCTTGATAAGAACCACTCTCTTTTCCAGTGGTGTGAGTCACTTAGACTTTACAAGGTCATTGCGATCTCTCAAATGTTCCCCAGTTCCATTGCAGCAATCAGCCCACTTGCTGTTGCCTGGTCAGAACATGATGCCTCAATTGACCCAATTTGTTGTCCTCCTCAAGGGCTGACCCTAGACCTGAAAAAAAAAAAATAAAAAATTAAAAAATAGGGATTAAGTCCACTACTTTCAACTGAAAGAAGTAGATCTGGTTTGAAGTTTGTGATTCAGACTTTTTAGCAGAATCTGTTATTATTTTGAATTCTATCCAAGCCTCCAGCAGTTTCAAAGAGAGTAAGGTACATGCAGTGCAAAGCTACTGCTATGCAACTCAGTGTACAATATAACATGTCTGAGAGGAATAATGATTTTTCACAGAACATGAAGAACAGAAAAATAGGAAAACACTTTAGCATGACCTTGGTGTTCTGCACAAATAACCAAAGTTTATGTCTCAGCTTTCTTTCCTCATACTTGTCTGAAGTCTTTGTGGAGCCTTCCCAGAAATGATAATATCAGCTGCAATATGGAAGTGATTTAGCAGCCCTCTGTAGATTTAGGTTGCTATTTCATTTTTATGTAAGTTCTTCCCCTGTGTGAATTGAGATGCATTCTGGGGCACTATAGGATAGTTTCACCTCATCTGAAACTCACTTTAACATCACACAATCAAATGTTTGTCTCCCACTTGAGTACTATGTGTTTTGACATCCTACTTAAGGGCTTCTGGGAACAAAAAGGGAGGAAGAGAGAAAAGACTGAAGAAAGCAATTCTAATGAGACCAAATATACAGCAAAGTACTTGAGCACTGCTATCACTAGGCTCCTCAGGCTACAATTTGGTGATGGCTTTAAAATAATCTAAGTGGGCAGCTGTATTCCCACTCTGTTCATACAACCTACTGGAAGTCATGGCAGCAAACTCTGGGCATTGGACTGCAGGAAAGCCTTCCTTACTGCTTCATGAAGCTGCCATGAAAATCTTTGAGCAGCTCAGGTGTCTGAAATATGACTGTAGAGAACTAGCTGCTTATGTTAAATATATATATATATATATATATATATATATATTTTTTTTTTGGTTGGAGTGTGGAATAATTCCATGCAGTGTCCTTTATATCTAGTGCAACATCAGGACTACTAAATAAAGCCTCAGTTGCATTATTGTCAAACGTGGTTTTCATAAATTAGCCTTCTAAACTTATAATTGGAAATGTAACTACCATGCTTTTTGGTACATCAGAGCATCCACAAATGCCATGACAGTTAACAATGCTCGTGGGTCCTGAAGACCATTCCAATCTTATTGAAGGTCATTTGTGTTTATGTTCCCACTGGCATGTCCAGTTGTTGTTATGATGGATGAACTTTATGCTTGTGATGAGGTACTCCATCCATAGATCAGTGTCCCACAAACATCCCCCAGTAAGAAAGGATGGCAGAGGATCATAAGAGCAGAACTGCTCTGGGTGCTGAGACTGTTTTTAACAGGGCAGGATGTAAATCTGATGATGAATTCTTTTTGGATGCTAAACCAATAATTCTAGTTCTGCAGATTAAATGCTTTTCATCTCTTAAGGCCTTATTTTATAGCATAAGGAGAACATAAATAAATAAATGAAAATTAAAAAGTGAAAGCTTCCTGTAAAAGTTTCAAAGGAAATGCATGTGTTTTCAAGGTTGATTGTGAAGAACAGACAGTTTATGCTGACCAAGATAAAAAAAGTACAATTACAAATTATACATTTAGCTTAAAATTAAAGATGTAAAGATGGATATAATCAAGTTTTAAATCTGTTAGTACCATTTTACCACCTGGCTTACATTCTGCTATAAAACAAAAGGCAGTCCCTGAACTGAACAGAAACATCAGAAAGAAGTGTGAGCGGAATGGAGGATGGAGAAAACACCTCTTCTGAGATTTTTTAATTTAGTGCTGAAACCAGCATTACAAATGGGTGGAAATAAATAACCTTCTCCACCCTTTCTGACCTTCTTGCAAGCCTCTGAGACCACAGCTCCCACCAGGGTTGTCAGTCTGCCTTTATTTCTCCAACCTTCAGAGAAAAGGGAACAAAATGTGCCACAAAAAAAAATTAATGTTTCTCACCTAGAGGATTACTTATCTTTTCACTGCTGCCCACCTCTTAGTGTGTGCTCTTTCTATCCTTGACTCTGTTTCTTTTCTTCCTTCTTTGCATTTTACTAGGGAAAAGAATCTAATCTGAGAATAAGAAGACTGTGGCTATGCTGCTCTCAGCCTGTGAGCCGGAAGGGAGCTCTTCCTGAAATAACCAGTGAGTGAAGTAAGTTTCCCTGGATCTAGGCAGCTGATAAGGATGTGTACCAAAACTTGTGCCTCTTACAGAGACACTTCGTGAAATGGTCTGCAAAATCAGAAGCAGAACATTTATCTTTGCTGTTCTTTCTTCCTCACTCTCTGGGTGTTTGTCCTATTATGTCTCCAAGAAAACATATTCATCCTCATAAGAGAGATCAACAGCAGCAGCTTCAGCAGCTCATTTTAGATAATACTGACATGCAAGAGGGCAATTAATGCCACCTCCACTACCAATAGAAAGATAGTCAAAGAAGAGGCAGCATCAGAAAAAAAATTCTCTATATCCAAAGGGAAAGAGAAAAAGAGTTAGTGTTAAAATGAAAGCTGTCCTTATTCTTTTAAATTTTAAATGTTTTAACTGTCTGGGGTTTCGTTCATTTGCCAGGGATGCTTTTTCTGTTGCTTTAAATAGAAGGCTATTATAATAAGCATTTACCATGGACCTAAGTTGACCAAGGTTTCAATTCAAAGTATTCAACCTTGCTTGAAGGCAGAGCTATTTGATTCAACTATTGATCTTCTGCATATTTTTGTTCTACTAAGAGTAGTGCAATAAACAGAGGGAATTTGGGAGTTTAACCCTGATTAAGCTGGTTTTGTAGTCTCAGCTAGATGCCTGTGGTTTGGAACATTCCCTAGCTGTAAAGCAAGACGTTACCTTCAGAAGAGGAAATTTGCTCGTGAAACTACTGGCATTATTTTTAAGTAGTACCAGTGTGGCATCCAAAATGGCTCTAAAGCAGGAATCTGGAGGCCCTCAACACCCTGAAGATTGTGGATTTACCCAGCTAATAACTAAGCACCACACAACTGCTCACTTACTTCCCCCCTTCTCCCCTCCATGGGATGGGGAGAGAATCAGAAAGGTAAAAGTAAGAAAACCCATGGGTTGAGGTAAGAACAGTGTAATAATTGAAATAATAATAATAAAATCATAATGAAGGAGAAAATAACAGGAAGAGGGAGGAATAAACCTCAAGAAAAACAAGTGATGCAAAAGAAAAAACAATTGCTCACCCCAACCAGTGCCCAGTCAGTTCCCGAGCATCGGCCCCCAGCCAGTTTTCTCCCTACTTTGCATGCTGAACATGGTGCTGGGATCAGCTGTCCTGGTATTTGTGCCCCCCCTCACTGGCAGGGCATGTGAAGCTGACAAATCCTGTAAGTGCTGCTCAGCAACAACTACAACATCAGTGTGTTATCAACATTATTCTCAAAGTCAATCCAAAACACAGCACTGTACCAGCTACTAGGAAGAAAATTAACTCTATCCCAGCTGAAAACAGAACACTGGGTAATGCTATTTGCCTAAAATTATCCCCAAGAAAAGAAAATTTTCATAGCAAAGCGGTCATACAGCAGAGCTATGTGGCACTATTAGCCAAAAGCCCTCTTTATGCCAGTCTGATAAAACACAAACAAAGTCTAAAGGACATTTTGAAAGAGGGCATCATCTGGTCCACAAAATTGGAAGACAGCATCAACAGGCCCAGGTTTGCTAAATCTTCCCAGTATTTCTCATGACTAAAAATCTATTCGAGAGATTGCTGCCATCCTTGGGAAGTGACGAGCTTCTCCTTGAGTTTCTATAAATAAAGATCATTAACCTTTACCTAACAAACAAATCATACATTTAAGAATTACTGTAACTGTTGAGACCTGAAAATGAAGGACATGAAATTAAAAGGTTTTGTGCTGATTTTTTACCCTTAACATTGCAGCTTTGACATGCTCTTGACAGTCCCTGAATGCTTTCCTTTCTTGTCTCCTTCCTTTGTATTTTGATTGGTTCTCTAGTTAAAAATAACCACTAGTTATTTCTCTAGTTAAAAATAACCAAATTATTTTGACTCTATTTCTTCTTTTACTGAACATGTCAGGTTGTGACAGGTGTGTATGTTTCTAACCTGAGCCTTGAGGATGCGGAAATGGGATGCAAATGCCCTTAATTACGTGTATCACATTTGAACAGCAAACTCCTTGGCAAAGTAATGCTCTCCCAGCCTGTTTTTACCACAGAGCACTCAGACTTGGAAAAATCAAATCTTTTATCTGTACCAGAGGTGTTGCAGACACTGAATGACCACTGAGATGTACCCCTCTTTATTTTGAACGCAGTGTATTATAATTCCCTACTGGCTGCATGTGTCCCCCTATTTCTACTGCATGAAATGCATAGGTTTTACATGTGTGTCAGTTTAATAATACTTCTGATGGTAGTGGTGATACTCCTTCATTTCAGCAGGCAAGAATTGCTTTTTGGTCAGGCTGTTTTTTGTATGTGGAAAGGCCATGCAGCATACAGAGAGTTAGAGGTTTCACAGCTACAAAATCCAAATACCTGACTTATTTTTCATCTACTGTTAAATTAAACCATGCCTGAATTTGAGCTAAAAGTGAGGGAAACCTCTGGTTGTTTTCTCACCTCTTGGACAGTGTAATAGTCATTAACAGTGGTTACTTGGACAGCATAATAGTCACAGCTTTCTCTTTATTTGGCTTCTGATAGTTGAATTCATGAGTCTAGTGCAACACTGAGCTATTTAACCTGCCTCCCTTGGCTGGCTAAAAAGAGTGGCTGCAAACTGTGGAGAACCTTAAAGTTACCTGACAAGTGGGCACTTAACTTCTTCCACTGGAAACAGAACCCTATTTTCTTATTGTGACTTTTGTTCTGAGTCCTTCCCAAGATTAAGAATGAAAATGAGAAAAGTATCATGTGAGCTAATCCTTTTTGTTTGGTGTTGTCTGCATCTACCAGATGGGTCTTGTTTTTCCAAAGCATAGAGCTAAGATTTGAGAACCTCACTGAGTGAATCAGAGGAGCATGATGCAAAGAGCCAAGAAATGTAGAATCAAAATATCTTGGTATGTTTTGCTTGGGTAGGGAGGGAGGAAAGAAGTGTTTAAATTTTCACCAATATTTTTTTGTTGAAAGGTCAGACAAATGTTTTGGAATTTGGGAGGTCTTGGATTAATTTATTTTCTGTTAAAAGTCCATTTTCCAATTGTCTATAAAACACCTTCAAAATTTAAAGCATTATTCATATACGAGGTTTCATTGCCAAGAACCTTCAGGCCTGTGTACATTATCATCTCTTCTTGGGTCAGGGGTGTGCTTTTGATTCCACTTACCATACTTTGGTTACTGTGGCAGAGGAATTTTGGAAAATGCAAACCTTTTGGGAGCCTGTCTGTTGTAAATCTCTCCCAGAATAAGCTCAGTAATCACAGATCCTCAGTACCAGCTGTTCTGCTCTACAGATCCATTCCCAGTGGAATGGCACAGACATTATTCAGACTAATTAGAAAGTTTTAATAGTTTACATCCAAATTGCACAAATAATCACCAACGTGAAGTTTTGTCCAGGCTACCCTCATCTTTCAAATTCACCAAACCTGTCTAGCAGTTGCACAACATGCTTTCTCATGAGGTTTTCCATGTTTTCCTTCCCAGACAGAAATACCTTCAGAGTTGCAATGTCTCATTTTTGGTTCTGGTTCTGGCTGAAGCCAGGAAATACATATGGAATACAAAATGAGGATGAAAGCTCTGTCAGGATGGCAGCATGCAGAGGTTAAAACTGTTCATACACAGGATAGAACTGTATCCTTGCAGATTCCTTTACAGAAGTGCAATGACTTGAAGGAGAATTAAGCATAGATCTGTAATGTTCGTCTCTGGTATATTCTCTGTTAATTAAAACACCAGGCTGAAAGTTGTATGGGCTTTTCTTGCTTTTAGTAGGCTCTGCCCATCTCATCTTTAACTCTCTGCAATGTGGTCTGTCCCACAGCTTGGAATAAATGTGGGATGTTTCTTCTGGACTTATTTAAACCATTTGTAAATTCCACGTGATTTTAATTAACAGAACAATGCAGCTGAACCAGTGCAGAGTACACATGAAGAACAACACAAAAGGACTGAGAAGTGTTTATGTTTGTAGCATTTTGGCTTGTTGTTTCTTGCCTTACTATTTCTGTTTCTTCTTTCATTTGCTTGCATAGTGTTCTCATTTTGTTTAGTCCCACAGGTAACTACTTGTGCCTTCATGTGTTCAGTGCCTCATAGCACAGATATATGCTTTCAATCGCTGATTGCACCAAGCAGATAAAGAGATTTTACAGTCAGGTCTGACATATTAAACTGCTATGACTCAATTCTTCCTTAACACGATCAGAAATATTCACTGTCACCTCTGCAGCTCCTGCTCTGACTTGCTGTCTGGAGAAGCTCTTCCTGCTATATCAACTAAATTGGGTATCTTGGGACACTAGTCACCCAAGCTGAGTGTCTAATATGTGGCTAAGTGTATGTCTCTTAAGTATCTTGTTAGTGGTTGTGGGCACAGAGAAAACATTTTCTGAAGATGTATCATTAGTTCATTGCCCATTAACGGCTTGCCTTTTGTGTAAATGTCTCTGGACAGTCCCATGTGTTTAATCTGCTTTCTTTATCATTCGAAGATGTTATCTCTGGCCCCAGTTTCGCTTTGCTGTGGTTACACTCAAGGATAAGAGTTTTTCCCATGACCTTTGTTTTGGAATTAAGGCATTGGAAAGACCTCAGCATTTCTAAAATATTGTTACCAAATCAAGTCAAAAAAGCAACCACAACTACGGATGGGAGGTTGCAGAATAATAGCCTTTGTTGACCAAGCAAACAGGAACCCCTGAAATACAAATATACTATTATTAAAATCAAATTCAGTGTGATGACTTTTCACATAGGGGACTCACTATATGTTCTCTTTGGATTAACTATGTTTGCCTATGTGTCATAAAACAACTGAAACTACAATATTAGTGTAAGGACAAGTATATTTAATCTCCCAAAAGCTAAGAAATTCCTTGTAAAAGCATCTTTGCCTAGGGAGGACTTTAGCTCTCTGCTTTAGAGACACACCCAGAAGATATTTTGTCACAGCTGTTACTGTGAGAACAAGTGATGTCTGGAAAAAAATTAAAGTATCACCCATGTCAACACTTTTGTGCAGCAGCAAGGAAGCCACTGATCTTGTTTGGTTTTAGCTACTTCTGTGTTAATTTTATTCACATGCATTGACCTGTCTGCTACAATAGGTCTGACTATATTATATTTTAAAAGCCTTTTAAAAATTTTAAGAGAGAGAGAAGCTCAAAAAGATGACATCAGTACTCTCATGTTAAATTGAATGGACTCACATTGTTAAAGAAACAAATCAAACACAAAAATACAAGATTCCCCTCCTGTCAAAATCAGCTTTTTAAGGCTGAGTCTTTCAAAAATAAAGGACTTCAGCAAAGGACTAGCTATCTGTGCAAATAAATCAGGACAACCTCCTTGTTGCCAAAAAAATGTGTGTGGTTGAAACAGTTCAAATGTCTAGATAAGCAAAAAAAAAAAATCATCACTAAAAAAGTAAAAAAGAAACAACCAGAAACAACACGATAAATTCATGGGTTTTTTCTGTATTAGCAGAATAGTAGAAGGAATACAGCCAGCTCCTTCTTTCAGTATTGTGTTTAAAATTTCCAGATGTCAGGTGCTAATTCTCTAAAATATGTCAACTTCGTCACTTGAAGCTGTCTGGAGTTTTCTGACCATCCTCTTCAGAAGGATTTAGTATCTTTGCTATGCTTTTCCAACTGTCATCTGCTGTACCAAATAATTGTGGTATTTCCTGACAATTAGGATTCTCTCACAAAAGAGAGAGACACAGCTGCCTATTGAGCTGGCAGGAAGACCTTGCTTGCATGGTTTGCTTGATCTTTCTTCCTTTTTGACAGCACTTGGCAAGTTGTCCAAATTGGAATTTGTCCCTGGAAACTAAGAATGACACTTGGAACTTTCTGGAAACTTTGAAAATGTGGTGCCTTCTCTCACATCTCCAGTCTCCTTCTTCCATCTGCCCTGTCAGCTGGTGTCCACAGCACGCAGAGCTCTGCAGAGGAGCTGTGTCACTGGTACAGCTCCAGTGGTCCTTCTGGCTTAGTTTGCAAAGTTTTCAGGGGTTTTTTGTGTTCAAATGTCAATTCAAAGACTTATTTGCACAGATAGGCTGTTTGCTTCATTATTTACCTCACTGTTTAACTCATTCAGACACCTCAGGCTGCATGAGATCATAACAGATGTTTGCACAGGGACAGGCACACAGCTCGATAGAGTCATGGTGCATTTCTACTTCCCAAGGCAGGATCTAAGGCTTCTCCCAGAGCAGTACCACGTTTGTCTTCAAGGCACTCTAATACAAACAGGAGTCTTTTGAGGAGAGAGGAAGGTGCATCCCAGAAGAGTTAAAAAATAACTTCAAAATGAAGACAAGCAACAATCTTCCTCCAAGAACATTTGAGGGAAATAAACACTTCCTACCTGATCTCCTGATCTCAACAGGCAGCATTACTTTAAAAGCATCTTTTCTTCACTGCTTAAGCAAAGTGAGACAGTGTCTGGAATAGAACAATTTCAGTAGATTTTATTAATGGAAATAATCAGAACTCCAGGATTTTCAAGACTGAAGTTGCATTATATTTTTCTAGAAAACTTCAATAGTGGCTTTTTCTGTTTCTTTCCATTTTTGGAGGCACATGACAATGTGTTTCTAGATCAAAAAGGTTTCCACTCTTTTTGTTCCTTTTCAGACAAAAAATGTTTGCTCTGATGCTTGCGTATTTCCTCAGAGAACAACACTAATTGGCTTCCATTGTGAGGAAATGTTGCTCTAGAAGAAAAAAAAGTGTCTATTGTTCCTTTACATCAATTTTATGCTTCTTAGTTGTGTCAGCGCAGTGGGTAACTGATTCTGTTTTTTGAGAAAGGGCTTAGTTCTTGCCTAATTTTTATTTATTCATTATTACTTAATGTAGATAAGAAACGAATAGAGGTTGTTGAAAAGATTTTATTTGGGAACTATGTTATATTTTATTTCCTTTGCTCTGAAATAAATTGGTTTTATAATCTTTCTTCAGACTTAGTTCACTTCACTAGTCATAAGAAAATGTTTGTGACGCAAAAACTGAAGCTGAAGCAGACTGAATGGCTCCCACACATAGATAAAAGGAACATGGAAGTTCATGTGTGTAACATGATTTTTTTTTTTGTAAACATTTATTTTTAACTTTTCAGTGCCCCTTTGCAGAGCAAATGTCACCTGAAATCAGTAGTTTGGAAGGATGAGATCCTAGCATTCTGGTTGTAAACCTCAAATCTTTACTTTTAGAGGACTTTTGCTGATCCATTTGTGACAGAGGCTTCATCTACCCTATGAAGTGTTGTGCTGAAATACTATTACAGGTCCAGAGAGCTCCATAGCTGTGTCAGGTCAGCCTAGTCTCTACCTAGACTGATAAGCTTCAAAATAAATACTAGAAGATACAATCTTGGCATTCCAAAGAACTAGAACCTGGCTCCATTTTAGGGTTATAGCACACAATGCAGGCAGTCAAATAGTACCACTCATTCAGAAAAATGGGCAAAGAGTACTGGATCTTGGATGCTTTTCCTGATAATATGATACCATGGATGCATTCTGTGCTTCTGGGATGCATTCTGCACTAGTCAGCAAACAAATGAGATTTGACATAAAAACAAGTAAAGGATCTTCTTTATCTCTCCATTCTGTTCAGGGTCAAAACTTCAAATGTCATAAACTGGATTCACTCTGAAAAAATCACCTGCTTTTGCCATATTAGTCTTAGTGAAGCTCTTCTGGTTTGCATTTGCCAAATATTTGGCCCTACTTTTGTAAAACTGCCAACTCCAGAGGAACTCAAAGATTCCTCAGTCTTTCACATTTCTAAAAGCACACCTGAAAGGAGGTGAAAAGAAGTGATCAAGCTACTTCTAAAATGCCCAAATGTCTAAATCTCACACAATTTGACCACTGGATCTGCTGATGAATTCTGAAATTTGGGTACCATTCTACTTAGCAAACTGATATGGAAGTGTCCTTGCAGCTGTGAATTGTCACCAGGCTTTTCTCTAGGCGGGACCAGGCTGAAATCAGTTCTGTTGTCACACAGGAATGTCAAGTCATTCAAAACAAGGGAATTTCTAAACCACAAGATACCACTGGTTCACTTAATCTCTGAGAATGATCAATGGCATTTGCAGCAAAGGAAAATGAAAAATTGCAGCCATGTCACCAACTAATCTAATCAGTCACTGTTTGTGCTCTGGGGTATACGCTGTTCAGAGGAAGGACTTATTCCTGAACTAAGCTGGTATTCACTTCATATCCTAAAGCACAAAATTAGATAACACTTTTAATTTTATCCCAGCTATTATAACTGCACCTATTCAATCCTTTTATCTCTACTGCGACATTTTCATATCCCATTATTCTACCAGTGACTTCAGAATAAATCAGACGGTTTTCCTTCTCTGGGTTTATGGCCATATAGAAGCCTTGTGACCAGCCGAGTTATTGGATAAGCACACCAGAAAGCTTGCTCTTCATCTATGTAGAGGGAGAAATTTGCTTTCTGACAAAGTTTACTATTAGATTTTATCTTCAATTCAGCAAAGTATCAGAAATACCATGAAGTGCATTAGTGGCTCTGCTACTGTTAATATAGAGTGAATAACAGGACAAAACTTCAATTTGGTAGTTACATACAACAAATTTTCAAAATCCTTAAGCGTCAGAAGCTTTAAAGCAGTGAGAAGTTCTCAGCATAATTTCCTTTTTAAAAAAGCCCCCAAACAACAAAACCCATATTGAACCTTCATAATTTTGAATACAATAGTGAAAATGAAGAAAGATGTAAATCAAATAAGGATCATTTGGGACATCCTTGGGAAATCATCCTAATCACTTGGAACAAATCCTCAGGCACACACTGCATGCTGGATGATTAAGATGGGCAGGCACAATTACTGTTGAAGAAGTAGATCAGAAAATGGTTATTTCGCAGGTCAGCCTGAAAAGGCTAAAAAAACAGCTGCAGAAACAAACGTATTACAGAGAAGAAAACTGCTGTTCATTTAATACAAAGTTTTGGCAAATTCTATTCAGGTTGGATAAGCAATGGACCACACGAGACAAATAAATTCAAGGAAGTTAAAATTGAGCCAGCTCAAATTAGAATGACTCACTCATGCAAAAAGATAAGACAAAATATTTAAGGACCTCTAGACCTCTGAAGGCCATGAGCACAGAGGAAGGTGGGGAAGAGTTTTGTGACATGTACTTAGAGAAGCTTGAAATGAATAAAAATAAAGGAACAAACAAACAAACAAACAAAGAGACAAGCAAAAATCACAAGCCAAAACCACAGGCCAATTCTGTAAATGCTCCTGACAGTACAGAATTGAACACTAAATCAGCTACCTCAGGCTACTGAGAATAGCAGCATCAGCTGGATATTTTATAAGGAGCCTCAACAAAGAAGAATAATTATTAGATACTAAAAGGCTAAATGACCTGCATAACTACAACAAAAATAACATTTTGATATTTTAGGGGAAATTCTCATCTGACTTGACAACTTTTTTTGGGGAAAAAGACAGTTTCTGTTAGGGGAAAAAAGACATTATTTCTCCTGGTTTGCAGAAAGGTTTTCAACACAGATTACAAATTCTTTAAAAGCCCATCAAGGCAATGGAATATCTGAGGGGAAAATCCAGGTGATCTCCCTTGTGGTGACCCTCATCTGCTTTCCCCTGCACTTCTGTTTCTTTGGAGCTTTCCCAAAGTACATGAATTGAGTTTGTCTCTGCATAAAGCACCAAGAGATCCTTGGATGATTCCTCTCTATACATATAAAGAAGGTCTAAATGATTCAGGAGGCTGAATCTCCTGAAGCCCTCTTACACCTTCGCAATATGCTCTGTTTTCTCAGTGTTCAGCTCCTGCCTAGAAGACTTGACTGCCAACAAAGCTTGCGAGCCTAATTTCTGTTTGGTGATTACTCTGTGACAGAACTTTGTGCACACGTTATCAAGTTGTGGCTGAAGGTCACTCAGGCTACCTAAATTTCCCTGAAGAGCCATCAAGTTGTGTGTGAGTGAAGGTTTCATCTGACCTGTTATGTTGTGTTGCCCTTGGCTGGATGTCAGTTCCCCACCAAGCTGTTCTATAACTCCCCTCCTAATCAGGAAAGGGAGGGGAGGAAACAAGATGAAAAAAATCTCATAGGTCAAGATCAAGGCAATTTGATAAAGCAAAAATTAAGGCCATGTGAGCAGAAGCAAAAGTAAATAAAATATTTTATTCTCTACTTTCCATCAACAGGTGATGTCGAGCTACTTCCCAGGAAGCAGGACTTAAGCACGTGTAGTGGTTGCTCAAGAAGATAAACAACATAAATAATGAATGCTTTCCCTCTCTCCTCTTCCTTTCCTTGAGCTTTTATTGCTGAGCAGAAATCATATGGTGTGGAATATCCCTTTGGTCAGTTTGGATCAGCTGTCTTGGCTGTGTCCCCTCCCAAGACCTTGCCCACCCACAACCTAGTGGTGATGGGGCGGTGCTGGAGAGACAGCAGTGATGCTGTGCCAGCACTGCTCAGCAGTAGCCAAAACAATGCTGTGTTATCAGCACCTTTCTAGCTACTGATACAAAGCACAGCACCGTGAGGGTTGCCGTGGGGAAAATTAGCTGATCTCAGTCAGACTCAATATATCTGTCATGGGGAGCTGGCAGCAAACCAGCAAATTAGAAGCATAGGAAAAACGTAAGTGCAGAATTGGGCCAGGATGACAAGGAAGAAAAAGCTGTTAGAGGCAGTATTTGTTAGAGAAAGATCCTCGGTAGGAGTAAATGGGAGAAGGTACTGTAGTATCAGTGATTAACAATAGGTTGATATATGGCATGGAACAAATTTGTTCATCATTTTCACTTTTTGAGATCATTTACATGACATTTCTACAGCCATACCTAAGCTGTTAAAAGGAGTAGAAATACATGCTCCATCTCACAGTGCTATGTGAGCTGGATCTGTTGAGTGAACACTGCTGTATTTTTTAACCTTTCTTCTTTCCTTGATGTTCTTCCTGTTGATATAATTTTGTTTTCTGTATTACAGGGACAGCAAGATTATCAATTGAGATCACTACCCTAATATGCAATGAGCTGCATAGAAGAGGAACACTGCTAAAAATCACATACTAGCTGCAGAAAAGTAAGCAAAAGACAAAAACCTTGGCCCTGGTCACAGTTTGTGAAGGTCATCACCAAAATCAAGTGCAACTAAACAGCTGTACTTAGAGGAAATAACAAACCCAAGTTCCCAAATGCTACATCAACACAGTAATACACTATCCTGTGCCTTTGGATTATGCTCATTTCTCACTCAAGGAATTAGACACGGGCATACTTTAATTAATATCTCTACTTCCCCTTCAAATCCTGGTATGTCAGAGGCACTAAGGAGAAAACAGGAGGGCTGCACTCAGGGCAGCGTGTTTAATCATCAGCTACTGCAGATGTAGCCATATATTCCTGACTGCTGAAAAATGCAGCCTCACATAGCTCTGGGTAGTTGCTTTCCCAGAGGTAATCTGATGCCTGGCTAACTTTCTAAAGGAAGGGTTCTGGTTCTCCAGTACAATGTTGGGCTGAATGTGAAGCTAACTGGGTGACATTCTACAGCTAATATTGAGAGGAGGTCAAACAAAATCAGAAGTGTCCTTCTGTCCCTAAAAACCAGACATTCTTGGAGCAGTTTAATCTGTGTCTCTTGGATCTCAAATAGTGGTTTTGTTTTTATAATTTATAATGTGGTAGCACTCAAAGTTTGTGGTAGTTTTGCTCAGCTGTAAACACCAATCATGTAGACTGCAAGGTCTCTGCTCTAGTGTGCCTCTATTCTGCAGCAACAGTTGGAGGGACAAGAATGTATGAAAGAGAAGAATGAGTGGGTATAGGGAGAAAATCAGGGGGAAAATTATCAGATCAAGAGCAAAAAAGACTAAAAGGAGCCTTCAGGAAGGGTGTAAGTGATAGAGCTCTTCAGTGGTAGATGATAAGAAAGGAATGAGTTGTCCGCTGTTCATAGTTTGAGTCAACTTAATGAAGCTGGAGTGGATGACTTCAGAAACATCAGTCGTGACTGATTTCTCTGAAGGAAATTCAGATGGCCTCCCCAGTGGGGCAGCATGACAGCTACAAACATGTTATTATAGTTTAGGCACTTGCAAAGGTATCATTATTATGGAAGACCAACACACGAAACAGACAAAAGTCTCTGCCAAGTGTTTTTCCATTCTTTGTGGTGCTTGAAGTGCCAAATGATGTTTCATCATCTTCAAGAGAATCTGCTTCAGAGAATTTATGTGTGTCTCACTACTTTTCTCAAGAAATATATTGTTGGAAATATTCCAGGCACAGGAAAAGTGACCAAAAAGGAAATCAGATTTTATCACTAGAGATCAGCTCTAGCTCAGGTTTTTGCTGCTATTATAAATGGTTTGAGATTTATGCCAGCCAACAGTGCAAACAGCTGCTCCTTGCTATTTCAAATGACTTCTTCGACTTTTATTGCTCCCAGACAGGTAAGCAAAGTGCTGTGAAAAATACCAGAATTTCAAACCTGGACTGCTCAGATAATGGACATTACTGCCTCAGCATCCTCTTATTGTCTATCTTTGCAACCAGCTGGCAACAGCTCTTGGTAAATAATATCATCTTGGTAAGTGTAAGGGCTGAGGGATTCCCAGGGGTACAGAAGGAGGTTTGGCACCCAGCTCAGCCGCTGGCTCCTCTTAACTTTGCCATTCTCTTGCACTCTGGTCCAGTTCTTCCTTGATGAAAGAAGGATAAAAATCGATTAATTCCTTAACAAGTTAAGTGTTCTCTTACTACAGGGATGTGGTACTACTTCATCCACATTTTTATGGATCAGTTTTGGATTTCACCTCCTTTTGCAGGGCTTTTGTGGCAGACTGCATATGGTGCTGCACTACCTCACAATCCACCTGCTGAACTAGCAGGCTGGCAAAACCACTGCTGCTACTGCTGTCAGACACGGTATTTTTGTCCTTCATTTTTGGATTGTTTAAAAACATCTGACAGGCTGTCACGCAACAGCTGGTCTTTTCACAGTGCCAGAAAATTAATCTCCAGAAGGATCCTTGTCTCCATCAAGGATTTTGTAAAAAATAACTGTTTAAAAAAACAAGACCTGAAAGGGGGAACACTTCAGCAGCAGGGTGAGTGTGACGTGTTCTGTGCTCACCTCCACTACACAGTCAAACTCTGTTTTCCATCATTTCACACGTCAGTGATGACCAATGCAAAGCAAACTCATTAATCCTGCTGCTACAGAATTAAAACCCCTGTGTTGAAATTGCATATTTATCCACACCTCAACTTGAAATAATCACAGTGCATGGTAGAACTACTGCTGATTACTTTGTCTGATCACATCCTCAATTAGTGTTAATGCAAATTTAGTGGGTAACATTGAGACTCCAGGACACTGAAGCATCAGAGTGAAGCACAGGACTAGCGTCCAAGGAGGTTTAGTGCAATGCAGAAACTCATTGACCCAGGGCAAGTTAGCCACATTGTAGGCATATTTAAATACAACCAGAATGCTTATTTAACTCAGAGAACAGCAAGGAGAAGTTAATTCCATGTTACACCCTACTCTCATCATTGCTGAATGAGAAATCCTAGATAGCATTGTTGCAAATTCTGATGCTTATTTGTCTGTCAGCCACAAAAATAGGAAATAGGGGCTTAATCTTCTAATTTGTAAATGACTAATGAATTTGAGTGTCCGCAATTTCAAGTCTCTCAGAAGATGTGATTACAGAAGCTCCTGAAGATCTCCCTGCTGAAATATCTACTTTGACTTTCCTGTAAAAGTGAAAACTTTCCACCTTTTATCTTCCAGCTCATTTACTTTTCATGTTTATTACAAGTTTTCAGGCAGAGTGGCTTTGCAGTTCTCTCAGCCTGTCCTGTGAATAAGGTGACTAGCCAGAGAAAGTCAGTAAGTTCTCCTTCTCTCTCATTTAAGGCTGCCTTCAGTTTTACATCTATATGAGATACGTGAATGCCTGTGATTTGGACCCGTTTTATCACTGACAGAGAAGGTGTCATCACTGCCTATGGTAACAACTGCTTCCCTCAGCAGTGTGATGACAAAGTGTCTCAGTGATTTCCTTTGAGAAAGTTTGGATTTTGAAAAGCAAAATCCATTTATGCTCTCATGCGTACTCCCAGATTATGAGAGCGTTGTTATGAGATCACCCATAAGAGTTAGGAAACAGATCATTAGAGTAATTCACTCGATATGGTTATGCCAAAGCTAATTCACTTTTCAGCCATGTAATAAGATCCCACAGGGTCATTACTTCTTTGCTACATCATCAAAAATAATGATTCATTTTTCTCAGTTTGTGTGGAAATAGACACTGTCTCTTATCATCCCCAGCTGAGCGAAATTGAAAACTGCAGTAGTTCCTGTCTTGAAGTTTTCCAAGGTGAAAAATCATTATTTAAAATGTGAGATTTAATGCAAGAGATTTGAATTGTCTCTCCCTGGCATTTGAAGCTTTTATCACTAGCACGATGTGTAGATGGATGAACAACTGTGATAATAAGATTTCTTGTATGTTACTTCTGAAAAGGAAAAAATGTATTTGTCAGGTTCATTAGTAAGAGAAAAATAGGATACGAAAAATAGGATACAAAAAATATGCTAAGATGGTAATTGCTCTCATATATAGTACAAATCCGTAAGTTTTTCTTATGTACTTGAGAAGCACTGTCTAAAAACATGAAGCAAGGCAGAGACTTAAAGTTGATTGAAGAGTCTATCAGTTTAGGGAGGGCCCCTGGCAATGATGCATGTGCAGGTACATGTAGCTTCACCCATGGCAAGGCTCACAATTTCTGCAGACATCCTATCGGGTAACAGTTTCCACGTTGCCTTTGGCACATGGTTGAACAAAGACTTTTTCATGATCATTTTAGGGAATTGTGCAAACATAAAAAAAGGATCTTTAGAGTTTAAGCTGATGAGACAGAAGATCCAAATAATTTTACAGATCTGGCAGCAGATGTTACTTTTTTTGTCCATTTAAAGAATTTGCTGGCCTTTCCTCTGTTACATGCCTTCACAGTGGCTATGTTCATGTGAAATGATAGATTTGTAATGTTCTCCTTGATTTTTGCACCTTGGCGTTTAATGAAATGTTGGGAATTACAGGGAGAGAGAGACCATTGTAGCCTTTTACCTCTTTTATTTGCATAATTAGCCTTACCTGAACTATGGTCTGCACTGAGGATGAAGGAATCTCATGTAATTCACTTTATGCAGGCACATAGGCCAACTTGTCACTTGAAAGTACGATTTTCTGTGCTGTATTCTTTGCAGCAGGCTCAGAACAATGCTTGTGAAACTTGTGTAGTGTCAGTTCATTGCTAGTGAGCACCAAGCTTTTAGCAACATTATAACCATGTAACACCTACCTGGGTTTTTCATCTTTGTCAGGCTCCAATCATTACTCTACTGTCACTATTTTCTGCTGCTTTGGATGAGGTTTTGAGAGTATTTCTGTTATAATCCTCTTGCATTTCAAATTATTTCGTATTTCCTCTCATAAGCAGCTACTAGAGTTGAACTCTGGCCTACTCAGAGTGCTTTTGATTTTGTGACTAATGCATGACTGTCATGATGAAGTTTTAAAGTTATTAGATCCTTTCCAGTAGGAAGGGATCATCTCCTTGAAGATGCCTAAATTATAATATGCCTGCTACTGTGTGATTATTATATTTACCAGTATGGATCAGCTGATTCACTGGAAATGGAGGAATTGAAAAATGCTGACATTTTCAGTTATAAAATGTCTGTTAAAAACTAATTTTTTTTTGTTACAACATCTCTCTCTATACCATTTCATACTGTGCAGGACTGTGTTCAGGATCCTGCAATTTATCCCAAAAGTGTGTAGAGTCTGACACTACAGTTTATATTACAGGAGCATTCTGACACCCCAAGCTCTGTCAGGGCAGAGAGAGATTACAATAGTATAGAAAACACAGAAAACATTTCAGTCTACTTAATCAGACAGGAATTGGGCAAGGGCTGAAGACAACTTTTAACACATAGAAAAAATGTTTTGCCCAGCAAGTTCATAGCAAGCATGAGGATAAAGCCTTTATTTCATGGCTTTTATTTATCCTAAGTGTCATAAGGTCTAAATTTGGGGGTGTTGCTGACAGAAAAGTCTCCCTTGAAGGAGAA